CCCAGCTGAGGAAAGCAGGGCTGCTGGTCACCCAACCAACCGTCCTGTGGCTCTGTGACCTTTCAGGACCCTTCCGACACAACCCAATCCAACCATCCTGTTGCTCTGTGACCCTTCAGGACCCTTCCAACCCAACACAACCCAACCCAACCCAACCATCCCATGGCTCTGTGACCTTTCAGGACCCTTCCAACCCAACCCAACCCAACCCAACCATCCCATGGCTCTGTGACCTTTCAGGACCCTTCCAACACAACCCAACCCAACCCAACCATCCCGTGGCTCTGTGACCTTTCAGGACCCTTCCAATCCTATCCAATCCAACCCAACCCAACCATCCCATGGCTCTGTAACCTTTCAGGACCCTTCCAACTCAACCCAACCCAATCCAACCCAACCATCCCATGGCTCTGTGACCTTTCAGGACCTTTCCAACTCAACTCAATCCAACCCAATGCAACCATCCCATAGCTCTGTAACCTTTCAGGACCCTTCCAACTCAACCCACCCCAATCCAACCCAACCATCCCATGGCTCTGTGACCTTTCAGGACCCCTCCATCCCAACCCAACCACATACCCTAACGACCTTCCAGGACCCTCTCAACCACCTCACTCTCCTTTATTCCCATCACTCCCCCAGCAGCACCACAACCTCCCTCGCCGCCTCCTCCAGCACTCCACACCTCTACGACCTTTCAGGACCCTTCCATCCCCACCACTCCATACCTCTATGATCTTTCACACTCTTTCCAATCCAACCCAACCATCCTGTGGCTCTGTGGCCTTCCAGGATCCCTCCAACTCAACTCAACCCAACTCAACCACCCCACAGCTCTGTGTCCTTTCAGGACCCTTCCAACTCAACCCAACTCAACTCAACTCAACCCATCCCAACACAACCCAACCCAACAATCCCATGGCTCTGTAACCTTTCAGGACCCTTCCAACTCAACTCAACTCAACCCAACCATCCTGTGGCTCTGTGACCTTTCAGGACGCCTCCATCCCAACCCACCACATACCCCAATGATCTTCCAGGACCCTTTCAACCACCTCACTCTCCTTTATTCCCATCACTCCCCCAGCAGCGCCGTCACCTCCCTCGCCCTCTCCCTCACCGCCTCCTCCAGCACGGCGTGCACGGCGCGGCAGGCGGCAGCGGCGGCGTCCATCACCGCCTCCAGTCTCTCGTGGTGCAGCCGCGCGTCCATCTGCACCAAAGCCATGGCGCCCGACCCCGGCAGCATCGCCAGAGCCGCCTGCGGCCCCCCGGCCGCCTCCTCGATGTAACTCAGGTCCGCCAACGCCGCATCCTCCGCCAAACCCGCCGAGCCGGCGCAGACGAAGTCACGCAGCGCGATGCCGGCGTCGATGATGGCCAGCGTGGCGGCGTTGACGCAGGCGCAGTAATTGCTGCCGTCCGCCTGCAGGATCTGATTTGGGGGGGGTGAAAATGGGGGGTTTGGGGTGGTACTGGGATCCTGTGACCCATAGGAGGAACCCCAAAGAAGGAGGGATCACAAAGAAGGGGCTGTGCCCACACCTTGAGTTTGGGGGGGTTGGGGGTGGCACCAGGACCCTGTGTCCCATAGGAGGGTCCCTAAGGTGCACCCAAAGAAGGGACTGTGCCCACCACTAGGCTGTGGGGGGGAGATGGGGAGTTTGGGGGTGGCACCGGGACCCTGTGACACATAGTAGAAACACTTATGGGACCCCCAACGAAGGGGCTGCCCCCACCCCTGGGGTGTGGGGGAGAAACAGGGGTTTTGGGGGTGGCACTAGGATCCTGTGTCCCATAGGAGGAACCCATAAGGGGCACCCAAAGAAGGGGCTGTGCCCACCACTGAGATGGGGGGGGAATGGGGGGTTTAGGGGTGGTACCGGGACCCAGTGACATATACAAGGAACACCAAAAGGGCACCCAAAGAAGGGGCTGTGCCCACCACTGGGATGTGAGGGCGAAATGGGGGGTTTGGGGCTGGCACTGGGACCCTGTGACCTGTAGGAGGAACCCCAAAAGGGCACCCAAAGAAGGAGCTGTGCCCACACCTTGCATTTGCGGGGGAAATGGGGGGTTTGGGGGTGGTACCGGGACCCTATGACCCACAGGAGGACCATTTATGGGACCCCCAAAGAACGGGCTGCCCCCACCCCTGGTGTGTAGCTGGGAAATTGAGAGTTTGGGGTGGCACCGTGATGCTGTGACCCATGGGAGAACCCCCCAAAGGACAGCTCCCCCATCCCCACCCCCAATCCCAAGGGGGTCCCATCACCCCCAACTCTTCCTCCATCCTCTCTACACCTCCTCACCCCAAC